TGCCCAAGGACACAATGACACTGAAAGTCGGAGCCGGGGCTTGAACCGTCAATCCTTCGATTTCAGGGCAAACTCCTACATCCAACGCCACTGTTGCCACAAAATCTTTGGCATTAGTGCAGAAACAGGTGTTCAGTAGTGACATCTATTGATGTTACACAGTAATTACACAAACCTAGCAACTCACCATGCAGCCAAAACATGATGGGGACAAAGGAATACTTTGAGGGTTGTCCATAAACCAGTCTTGTTTTGGTAGCTAAAAAAAAAAAAAAAATTACAAAAAAAAAAAAAATACATATATATATAAAATGTATTTACTTTTTACACTTAACTTTCAAACAACTCAAAAACTCCTTTTTCAAAACAATAGAAAAAAAATAAAATAAAATCATTTGGGGGGGTGAGGCAGCCCCCTCCAAATGTAAAGTACCCTTTAAATTAGGATTTAATAGATTAAGCATAATTTTGATTTCCGACAGAATATTGAACGATCTTAGTAACATTACACATCTCCTTACTTAAATATTTTTAAATAATTATTTTTTGTTTGGCAACACCAATAATGGCCCTGCTATGAAAACAATGCATTCTAAGCTAGTTTAACTCTGAGGTGACTTCCTGCTGATATAAGAGACAGATCTATGCAAATTCAGGTAAAGCAATTGTAGGGAAACTATAGCACTCAATCTAGATCAGAAACCTTTCACCCGACCCATGAGTGAGGACATCCTAAAAAGATGCCCCACCCCATTGGACGTTATTCAGTGTAGATTTGTCATTTTCAAATTGTCTTTCATAAAATAAGACAATAAAGGAGAGACACAGTGATTGGTGTTAACTGTTTATGTAAAGTGTTCAGGCAGATGACATCAGATTCTGGAAGTTAAATTATTTTAACTCAACCAGAGGAGAAAAACCGAATCGGATCATGTATGGGTCACTGAGTCTGTAGCATTTTATAAGAAAATAAAGACATTGTACATTTTTCAACAGGGGTTTTCTCTTCCCTTGTTTTACGGTTGTTTTGATTTTATGGAACCGTCCAAGGCAGATCTCACATTTGAGAAAACAAAATTCAAGAGTCTGACTGAACAGAAATACTGTAAGGAACATGGCACAACATGCTGGAAAGTCTCACCGCCTTTCACACATAATTGTCTGACCAAATTAAACATTTTCTAACAATTATTAAAAAAAAGCCTATTTCCACAAAAGCATTTTTTCCAGGTACAATAATTTACAATCTGAAAATGATTGAACAAAAAACAAAACAGACATTCCCTCATGCACACGGTTGTTCTATAAAGCAACGTCATCAAAAGAACTTCTTAGCGGCTGCTTCTTGTTGACTTCTGTAATCAGAACAGAAACAATTAAACTGTTTTTTTAAGTCACAGGGAGGTGTTAAAGAAATCAATACTAGAGTTACTTACTTGTACATTATGTAGCAGAAGAATAAGACCGTCTGGATGACAACAAATATTGCAAAATGAACAGTCGATAAGCAGGAAGGCATGGGCGGCATCTCAGGGCATTTTACAACTTTATCAGCTGGATTCTGCACAGAAAACAATAAAGATGCTTTTATTATTGGATGATTGGTGGAAATTTATTTTAGTCTTTAATTCAGAGCAGTAGTATAAAGATTTTATAATCTACAGGTACCAACATTGGGATGCTTTTAAAAGTACCTGAACGTTCCGTTGCACCAAGTGCTCCACGTCCCTCTTCACCGTGTGAAGATTCTCCTTAATGTCGTTGAAGTGCTGAATGGTTTCGTACGCCCCCGCGCCGCCTGCATTACCCTGGTGCTGGACTGAGCCGATCTGTTTCAGAGAC